TTCCAAATCTTTAAAACCATTAAAACAAGTACCTGGTCAATGAATAAATCTTCTCACAGAGAGGCATTTAGAACCTTCTGTAATCTGGCTCCATTCACCTTATTGCCTTTACTTTCAGCTACTTGCCTTCAAGCACCTTCCAGCCCATCCAAATGGGAGGGCTGACGTATTGTGTTCCTGCTGCCAAGAATTGCTTTCTTCTTCTGAATTCCACATCTTTTAACTCAGTTAGGATGTCATTTCTTGAAAAAGCCTTTCCCAGAACTCTGGCACCGATCCCCGCCTCCCCCAACCTCTTCCCCCCTCTCCTAATTGCTGCTAAGCTGTAGGTATTACCTCCCTATCCTGAACACTCCTAAAACTTTTTCTACTTGGATGGCACTTATTGTGTGCCTTACATTATAATTATTCGGGTATTTCTGGTATGAGACTCTTGAGGATGCAGTTCTAACCAATTCGTGTTTGTGTGCCCGTATCTTCCAACACCATTCCTTACCTATGATTGGTGTTCGGTAAATGTTCTCTGAATGTTTTAAATGAAGACCCATTGATTTAACATTTTCTTTATGGCTGTTTTTCCTCTTGAGGCTCATGATTCAACACTAACATAGAGGGAGTCTAATTCAGTGAGATGTTTTTCAGGTTTCTCATTACATTTTAAACAGAATTTACAAGGCTCTGTCTTTCTATACACAGTCCAATTGTGTGTGGGCTCCCCCACCCCCATCATTAGTAGTTTTCTATTTACAGATCTCTTTCATGTGCAAAGGCAGGGTGGAGCAAAACTGGCTTCTTTTGGTCACTGCCTGAATACAGGATCAAAATCTCTTTGAGATGCAGCCTTTCTATCTCCTGGCTCCGCGCCCCCCCCCCCCCCAGCCCCCGCCAGTTTACTACAAAACACAACTGGAATTAGCATTTTATGGGTATAATACCTTAAAACTCAATTGTGGATGTGGCAGGTACTCCACCATTTATACACAGATAGGGAGAAACATTTAGCTTCACTGAAAAAAAGGCCATCGATCCATTCAGTCCTTTCCCCAATCACTGGCTGGACTTCAGGTGCAGCATTGTGTGCTGCTAATGAAAATACAAACACTGGTCCATACAAGGAGCTCCAAGCCCGTATGAAGGGAGGCAAACATGTGATGAGATCAGTTTTATAGAGAGTGATGTGCACAGTGCCAGAGGCAGATGCAGGTTGGTGTAGAGGACGAATGCTTTGAAATATTTCATTTTGCAGCAGTGTTCATGCAATTATCAACAATCCAAGCATTATTTCATAGTTATTAAAAACAGCAGCACTTTTTAATATTACATTTATTTATTTTTTGTATGTGTGTATGTGGGGAGCCATGTGTGCCATGGTACACACATGGAGGTCAGAGACAAACTTGCAGGAGTTCCGGTAGTTTAGGCTTGGTGGGGGGAGTCAGTTCTCTCCCTCCATCAGGGATCCCAGGGATCAGACTCAGGTAGGTTGGGCTTGGTGGTGAGCGCTTTCACCTGCTGAGCCATCTTGCTGGCCTGGCATCATTTCAAATACTGACTTTGAGCAGGATCTCGGCATTCATGTCAGCTGCGGGGACATGATTTAGCCAAGCAGCCATGCTTGGTTGACCAAGACCTAGATACAGGCCTTTGCTCCCTAGGGCTCAAGGGAATGAATCATTCATGGAGACACCGACAAAAGGGCAGTTTTCTTATGATTCATTGAGCTGAGCTTCATGCCAACGATATTTTGGTGTGGTGATTATACATTCTACTCTGTCTATAGCTTCAGAATTTCCAAATGATTAGCATAATTAGCTCAGCTGTGTAGATGACTCACTGGAGTGTGTTCTTTAAGTCTGTGACCCTGGAGGAGTGGCGGGGGGGGGGGGGGGGGGGGGGGGGGAGAAATTCTAAATTCTAAATGTCCAAAGTCTGCAGTTTTAAACACTGAGTATTTATGCAGCCTGTTTTCAGTTGCCTTCTCTTTTGGACTCTTGCATTCAGGGATACTCTTCTGCTCATTAGAACGACGGGTAGGGCAATACAAGTCAGAAGAGGTAGAGGAAATTAAGACCAGTTTCAAATTTCTCCTTGGTGGCGACCCAGTGGAAGACTTAGATGGGGAGAAATTAGGGATATAGGTTAGCATGAAGCTATATTACTGGCCTGGATTCTTATGACTCACAGCTGAAAGAACACGATGAATTGAAGTGAACACGACTGTGATAATGGTGGCTATAAGTCATTAACAAATATGTACCTCACCTCAAGCCATAGACTTAGGCATGCGGGATCAAAATGAGCCCAAAGCACAACAAAGAAAGGGAGGGGAGGAAAGAAGGAAACAGAGAGAGAGAGAGAGAGAGAGAGAGAGAGAGAGAGAGAGAGAGACTTTCCTGTTGCAGTTTAAATTCTAGAAGGCGAAATTTCTTGAAGGTTTAAAGCTCTTTTCTCATGAGGTCTTAGTCATGAGAGATTTAATCTTCAGCAGGTCCCAGTTCGATATGGAAGTCACAAAACTTTATCTTTTCCAAAGCTTACAAAGTGACATCACTTTAAGTGCTTGTAATGAAGAGCACCTTGGATTCTGGTTAAGAGGCAACTGTATCGGGTGTCTGTGTTTTGAGGGAAGTGGTGAGAGGGCATAGTGAGCAGGGAGCTGAGAGCCTACGAATAGTACGGTCCGTCCACCCGGATCCTTTCCAGCTGGGGGAAGATGTGGGAGTGAGTACACGCACCACTCACAATCCAAGTTCCCATTCTGCCTCTTTTACTCTTCACTGCCTCCTCCCTCCTCTCCTAAATCCCTCCTTCTCTTCGTTACCTCCCTTTCCCCCGGTTCCTCCCCATCCTCTTCCTTCAAACAGTTCTCTCTCCTCCTCTGGCTCGCTCTCTCCTAGTCTCTTTCGCTCGCGTCTCCTTTCCCTCCTCCATCTCTCAGCGGCGTCTGCGTCAGGCTCCCACTAGCGTGACGCGCGGGGTCTGGGTGGGAGCTGTCCACTCACCCAGGTGCTGAACGCAGCAGCGGCTTCACTGGCTGCGCGGGTGGAAGTAGCCGGTTGCCTTCTCCGCTCCAAGAAGCTTGCTTCCAGTCCTCGGACTGGCAGCCTACCGCCCCGGCACCTCCCTTCCAGCACCACCCCTTTGGGAACTGAGCCAGGGGGGCAGCAGTCGCGGCGGCGGGTGCTGAGCAACGGCGGAAGACAACACCTGGCACCAGGCTGGAATCTGATTTGCTTCCTTTTCGGCTTTTCTAAGAGATATATTTATATACAGTTCTGGGGAGTCTCCAGGACCAAGCTGAAGCCAAGTGCCGTCTGCCTGACCACCTCGGCCACACCGTCTCTATTTCCCTTCCCCATCTTCTGCTTACACCGCAAACAAGCCTTACCTCCGTGCATCTGCGAGGAGAGGTAGCAACAGCAGCGAGCCCAGCCAGCCAGAGGCAGCCGGAGGAGGGAGGGGCGTCGTGGGGGTGGGAGCAGAGAGCGGGCGGAGGCCGCCCTAGGTGGGGGGAGCGGGGGCAGAGCTGCCGACAGGACCTGGCAGCCGCCCTCCTCCGCCCCCCCCCGCCAGAAGCACTCTTTTCTGATTATCTGAGAACTGAATTGTTCCATTAGTATTATTTTTTATTCTCCCCATCACTTCCCCACTGCCCCTACCCCCACTCCTGCCTTGTCTCTGGTTGCATGGCAGCACTGCCCGGGAGTGGGGGCTCAGGGCCAGCCCCCCGGGGAGGGAG